TACCATAATTCTAACTCTTTATCACTGGAAGTTAAACATGATTCCAAGTATAATATTTATATTACCTTTAATATTGATCCACAATTTTTTCTCCAAACATTCCATATTCCTTCTTTCAAAATATACTGTATTCCACTTGATATCTGGTTTCCCAAATTTTATAACTCTTACAAAAAACAATCTTTATATATTAATTAACAAAAAGTTTATAATTATATTAATTTTCAAACTACTACTTTTCTTTCTAACAAGCTCAAACAACTGCTTCCTAATTCTTACCAACCTACATCAATTAATTCATTACAAGAACATACTGAAACATCAAGCAAAGCTGCCTTATATCATTTATATATCTGTACAAATCCTACTTGCAATATTTTTCTTAATAATATTGAATATACTTTTTATAATCTTACTTCTTTCTTTTTTAAACAATCTTTTTCACAATTTCCATCTATTACAAAACCAACTCTAAACTTTTCTATTTTTGAACCAAATCAATCCTTACCTGCTACGAGTATATCAGGGCGGCCCCCCCAATGTTCGGGTCGATGATCGATGTTGGGTCGATGATCAACGTCGAATTCGATGATCCATGTCATCGTCACAGCAGTTATCTAATCGTATTTTTTAAAAATGAACTCTTTTATAAGAGCTCGAACTTCCTACAGTATATCGATATTGTATGTTTAAAGACAATTTGACCAATTGAAAAGTTACTCAAAATGGGCACAGTTCCGATGCTATTATTCGTGCTGGTGAAGGACAAAACATGAGAGAGTTTCGAGCACATTCACTTATTTTAAACGCTCGCTCTACTTATTTTAAACGCTCGTTCTACTTATTTCAAAGCTGCTTTTTCTGCTAATTGGGCCAAAAAGGAAGGTAATTGCTTCATTTTTATAGTACCATATTTGAACTAAAAAAGTTTCTAACAACTCTTATTCAAATTATAAAAAAAAAGGAAGACTCAAAGAACATACAATTTTTTTAACATTGATATGTATTTAAAATAAAGTTTTCTTATTTGAGAACATTTTATTTAACATGTTCTCAAAAAATATTTAATTTAATCTAATAAACTAGTGCTCCGAAAGGTCAATTGGGTTGAGTTTAGAGTCGAACTTGAGCGAATTAAATGGAAGGTCAACCCGATCTTATGTTTTTAAGAAATTTTTTTTTTTTGTAAAATAAATAATTGTGGGTTTATATAAAATTCGAACGATTTATTTATGTGTTAGTGTAGAATTTTATTTATACATTGTAATAATTTATTAATTATAATAAATGTATTGTTTTTATTAAATATATTGTATTTATTAAAAAAATATTTTTCACATCTATAATAAAGCTATCTAATACTTGATTTTTAAATATGCAGTACTTTTAAATATACTTACCATTATTTCTATTTTTTAGTATCAATCTTATTTCGCTTGTACATTGATTAATGTTTTCCATTTTCAGCTGATAAATTATTAGAACAATACATTTCTTCCTGACGCGTGGCTACATAAATAAAAATGCATAAAATTGATCAATTTGCGCCATTGTATTTTAGATTAAAAACTCAATACCATTGTCTTAATTCTTATTTTTCCATGAATCCATTTTAATGCGATCACAGACTGTTTTAATGCGATCACAGATTGTTTTAATGCAATCAAATCTTTTCATTGATCAGTTTTAATGCGATCGGAATATGCCTAAACGATTCTAGTGACATATGCAGTTTTTAAATTAATAAAAAAGTCATAATTAATCGTAATTGGGAACAAAATTGGGTTAAAAAAAAAAAGAACAAACGTGATAAGTTTTAACTAGAGCGTCTAGACTTATGCGATTTCAGAGATTTTTTTATTGTTCAAGCAATGAAAAATCTCTGAAATCGTTATTAGTCTGGACACTCTAGTCTTAAACTTGTTATTGCATAGAACCAATCCCATAGGTCTGCATCTTTCTTTCACATTCATAGTTCATATCTTTTTTCTATATGCAGCGTATCAAATATTCATATTTTCTTGCCCTATTACATACAATTGCCATTAGTTAACTTCACAATAATAATAAATTTTGGATATTTTATATAAATATCGATGTTACTTACCATGAGCGATGTGCTAGTGATATTATTCGAGTCCAAGAACATATAGTTAAAGACGCAATTCTACAAAATGAAACAATGCCCAGGGTGTAAAGCTGTTTGCCCAAATGAAAAGTTTATTTGGGATGGTAAACGTAACAAAACGTGTGTTGACTGCAAATTTAACGAATGCACAGGGTGTAAACTTCCTCGTCCAGATGAAAATTTTGTTTGGGATAGCAAACGTAACAAAACATGTATTGATTGCAAAAGGAATCGTGATAGAAGGAGAAAGCAGAAACCTAAACCAGTAATTACTGATTCAACCGATCATGTTGAACCAGTTAACCAATCTGAAATTACTAGCCAAGAAACAGAACAAGTAAATGATACTGAATGCATTGAAATCGATTACCTCGAGGTGGGTAACTTTGTCGCAAATAAGATCCAAGATCTTAACAGAAAGTGCCGACGGTGTAGTTGATAAGGCCTACAATACACAATTTTTAGTAAAAATGAATTTAGAAGCACAAAATATGGCGGCAAAGGAAATTGCCAACCTTATCATTACCGAAATTAAAGGCGGTGATGATTTTTCATAGATGTGGGTTTATTTTTTTATTTTTTTTTTTATTTTTAAATTTTTATTTTTATTTTTTTTCTATTTTGTTTTTTTTTTTTGTTTTTTTTTTTATATTCGCACAAAGTTTAATTTTTTGTTTTGCGTTACCCGACCACCCAGTTTTTCAATTTTTTTTTTTTTTATTTTCTATTTTGTTATTTTTTTTTTTGTTTTTTCGTTTTACTCGACCACCCAGTTTTCAATTTTTTTTTTTTTTTTTTTTTTAAAGTCCCAATCGTGCCAATTATAAAAAATCAGCACCAATTTTTAGATTCCATATAATGCAAACTGAAAAATTAATTTTGCGCGGCCTAATATTTCCTTTTTTTTTTCTAATTTTTTTTTTTTTTTTTTTTTTTGTCATAGCTATCAAGAAGCAAATTTATCAAGAAAATTTGGCGACACAATTGGCAGGTTCACGTATCTGTGCTGTCAATCAAGAGAATCCCAAAGCGAAAAATATAAAGACTCTAATCGTAAACGGCGTGTGCGTTACGACTGTAAGGGCAGAATTTCTATACGGGTCGATACAGTTCTTGGTATTGCGAAGGTGAATATCTGTCATGATTCTCTCCATCAACGCCCAGATTTTTGTGCTGAGATGACAGACGAACTACGGGAAGAAATTAGAAAGTTTGCACACCTTACCACAGCTCAATTGACAAGCCACCTAAGAAGTCAAGGAGTTGATGTTTCAAAGTATTCTTACAAGCGCATACATTATTGAAAGACTATGGTTAATAAAAACATATACCAACGCCATAATGACCAAGTGGAATCTACACGCAGGCTGCTTGACGAATACAGAAATCAGGATTTCTGCAAATGTCTGGACATACAAGACTCAGAATCCACTGCCATCGCATTTACAACTCTGTTGCTTAAGGAAATAAATAATCTCAACATTCGTATTACTGAGATTTACATTGATGCCACATATAAAACTGCACGTGGCCGTTATGAACTTTATGGTATTGTCGCTGACGTTGATGGTGCCGGTTATCCAATCGCCTATCTAATAATGGATACGACAAAGGCAAAAGATACAAACCCCAGTACAGAAAAACATCGTATTATATTAGAAGACTTCCTTGCTGCTCTTAAGGTAAATTGTAATAAAATAAATAATTAATAAAAAAATAAAAATTGATTAAAAAAATTTAAAATCAAAAAAAATAAATAAAAAAAAAGTGTATAGTTGTGATTATTAAAATTAAATGCGATGGTCTAAATTACTATAAAGTAACTGTATAAAAATTGATAAGGGCTCGTAAATTATTTAGGTACCCATAAAGTAAACTATATAAAAAACTGATAAGCAACTGATAAGTACCTCATAAGAAATTTCACTTTTAATCTCAGTAGTCACTCCAAATCTTGCATACGATTGATTTAAAAAAACCCAAAAATTATTAAAATTGAAAATTTTCACCTATATGGTTCATCATAGTAAATCACTTAAGAATCCATTAAAATTTTGAGCTTACTATATCCAAAGTTCGTTATATTTAGAGTCGACTATAATAAAATAATAATAATTAATATATATTTTTTTTTTTACTTAAAAATTCAAATTTATAATAATAATT